TTCTCAGGAGTTGTTTTTCAGCAGTTGGTCGTCGACTGGCACACCCCTGCAACCCCTACAGAGTGGAGCTTTGTTTGGGGACGTCGTAGAAGGCAGTGTGGAGGACCCAGGAAAGCACAGAATGGGGGTCTTATTACGCGGTCACGGTCTTAGCAGGGGTGTTCGTTGGGGGAGGGTTGACTGTGCTTACCTGGAGGGAACACACTTGCAACACTCCAAAACGGGGTAGCCAGCAGACACAGTTGCGGACCGTGGAGGGGTTGGCCTTCGGGCCGGGGGTCTTGACCCCAAACCCCCAGCAAGCAAGCAAGCAAGAGGCAGACTGTGGGGGCCGTGGCCATTTTGGCTCAAGCCGTGAGTGGTTCAAGGAAGAGCGGGCCTCTCTGCCCCGTTGCCTCTCTCCACTTGCTTCAGGACCCGCTCTCCTCAACCCGGCCGACTTGTCCTCTTGACTCTTTCTGTCTTTCTTTCCGAGACATTGCTGAACAACTTCCAGGGCTACTGTGCGTTCTTCCCCCACATCACTTTCGAACGGGAGCTCGTTGTGCAACAGTCCCGGAGGGTGTCTTACTATCTCCGGAGCCTTGAGGACATCGGAAACAGCGAGCTTTACGGCTTGGCGAGCCTACGACGGCCTGCTCCAGTACTACCTCGCCCAGCCGATTCTGCCGGGGGAGTACCGCGAACGGGGACTACCACTCGGTCGTGATCGAGAGCTACCTCGGGAAGACTACGAATAAACATTTCCTGGTGGAGATGAGTGAACCGGGGGAGAACCCCAAGCCTCCCAAATGCCGCCGCTGCCGTGACGGACCCTCGTATCATGGAGGCCACCAACGAGGTAAGCCGGACTGCCAACTGCACGGGTGCCTCGCCACTGAGCCCGCTGACATTCAGGCTTTCCTCCGCGCCAAGGCGATTGAGACCGCAAGGATGAATGCCATCAAGGAAGCAAAGGACCGCCAGGCCAGGGGACAACCCTTTTTGGATCCAGATGATGGGCAACAACAGCAGATGCAAGACGACCACTCCCTTTGCGAACGCTGTGTCCGAGAATCTCCTTTCACGGCGTCCACAACAGAAGTGCACCCAATTGTGTACTTTACGGTGCTGACAAGATCAAAGCCCCGGGAGTCAAAGAACACAACTAGGGCAGGTAAAGGAGGACACCCTTCGCGAGCTGCAGATGGAGTTGCAAAACCAACGTAATCTCAGGCCTCTTCCTCTTCTTCGACCCACTCCTTCCCCCCCCCAAGGAAGACAACCGAGGCCAGCCGCACCAAAGTGGACAAAGGTGAGGCCAACAACGCAAACAGCAAGAAACCTACCATCCTCGATGACATGGACCCGGAGGACCCCTTGCTCGACTCGCTGCAGGCAATCTTCGGCTACACCACCTGTCAGTGTAAGCCTGAGAAGAAATTGAAACGGCTTTATCCCCACGGAGGCCAACCCCGGATCGAGCACTAGCCAGCCTTCCAGCTGCACTCGCCGTGCCGGGCGACACCAAGGCGAGCCGTGACACGCCCACTCAGCAGGGGAACCCTTCGCGCGAGCCGTCGTGTAGAGGCACGCCCTCTGCTGAAGGTCTGCTTGGCTTCGGTCGGGTTCACGTTTGTTCGTGCGGGCAACTCGGACTGCGCATAAGGCAGTGAAAATGCACCCTGAACAGCACACCAATCTCTTTCTTTCTTTCTCTTCAAGGCTTGAGGAAAATGACTGGTCACACCCCCCTCGCAGGCAGGCACTCGGCAAGCGCTGAGAAGTCGCCAACAAAATCGGGTAAAAATAAGAGTTCACATTTCCCACTTCCTTTAGCAACAGTCCATCTGGGCTCTGTTCCTCGTCTGCCTTGTCGTTGTCGGTGCACGAGTCCCCCGCCGCGGTTCTGGAGTCTCCCCCGGCGTTGGTTGTGCCGCTGCCATGGTCTTTGCGAGAGGTTTGTCCAACAATCGTCGGAGTTGTGCTTGGTTGTGCCATCCAAGACGACAGGCAGTCCACAGTGACGGAGAAGATAGGGGGTCGTCGTAGCACCCGTCCTCGTCAATCTCGTCATAGATGGCGAAGCACATCAAGAAGTTGTAGGTTCTCCCCACAAGGCTGTCATATAAGCTCCTTGCATCTGTGCCTCCCCTTGATGACATTTTTCGTCCCCTCCTCGGAAACTTCGCCAGACTGTATAGTTGCGTGTGGCGAGGTCCAACACAATGTCATCTTCACCCCATATACGATTGTAATAAACGACGCGCACAATAGTGCCTCGTGCACAATAGTGCCTCGCAAGCCCAGGTGGGTCGTCCATAGAATGCAAAAGGCTGCGAATCACCCCTGATCCAAAGTGCTGTCCATTGCGGCTCCGAGTCGGCTGCCTGATAATCGTTTGCCGGGGACTATTGCAAGCTCGATAAGGCAGAGATGAACTTCCTTTACAAAGACAGGGCCGAAAACGAGGATATTGAGCGTGAAATAGAGAGGCTTCACAAACGCCTCGAGGAAAATAAGCGACGACAAAGAAGCGAAAAGAACGAACAAATGAAGCAATAACAAAAGGCCCCGGACTACAAGAACCGATGGAGTCGCCACAAAGAAAGCATTCAACTCTCGAGAAGTGCAAGACTGAAGAGCTTGAAGAACCTCGCACCGGAGGGTCAGCTTCAGATTCGTCGTCGACACAAGCTCTTAAAAAGCAAGAAAGACAGCAAAGGCCTCACATGCCGGGACTTCATAATAAAATAGAGTATTACGAACGTCCGGAACAACCGACATGTGATCTCTGTAAGGGCGAATTTCTGCCTCACGTGTCTGAATGCCGTACTTACCAGTCAACACTGGATAAGCTGTGCCATTGCATGCATCTTTCCATCAGAGCTGATGCCGAAGTCTGCAAGTCCCGCTAGACGTGAAGCAGCGTCAGCATATTATGGAAGTAGATTTCCCTTCGGAAAATATTGCTCTACACATGGAGACAGTTCATGAATACTGCATGGATCCGTCGTCTTTCGAAGATCTTCACCTGCAGAAGCCGCTGTTTTACCAGCAAGCTGGCGAATTGCCTACGCTCCAAAGAATATCGTGAATGTCCACGGCGATCGGATTCAACATCCTAAGGGTTACTTAGACCTTCAAGGCAACGAAGGTCTTGAGATCCTAGATGCCTACTACACTCTTGTAGTAAACCGCCGCAGCAGTAACAGCAAGCCAGATGAAATGCTTGAACAGGTGAATCCAGGTAGTGTTCAGCTGGGCGTGGCAGTTTTCAATTGGGGCAACCTATACCGAGAACGCCGCTCACAGAAAAAATCTCGAAAGGCCATTCTTGGAAAGAAGTATTATCCCTTGGTTGAAGTTTGTTTCAACCATTTTAAACCACATAAGTCTTGTAGTGGAAACCGACGGACTCGACTCCGAGCATGCCCAGAAGGTGCAAAAGGAAAACGGCTTCAGGGGAATACTCGTCAAAACGAGGCCCAAGGAAGCCAAGGCTCCTTCACTTTATGTCGGAGTGAGAGGCGACGAAACCACCGACGTTGTATTGGTACACCACCACAAAAGAACCGCCACCTGCAAACGCGACAGCAAGATAAATGAAACGTGGTCGTGTCACGGTGCAGTCTGCGGTGTGGCTTTCGGAGCACACGGCACTAATGAAAATGCCCAAGAGCTTTATCATGCTCAGTCGGGTCAACGCCTCACAAGGCAAGAGTGAACCAAGCTTGTTGGAATGGACCCGCTCATGGGTAAGGACGTCAACGACGATCGTCCTTAGGACATCACGTACGTAACTCCAAATCCGATAGCATCAAGTGCAGAGTCACTTTTGAGCAGACCACCACGTTTGGGATGGTTTCGCAGAAGGATCAGACCTCTCACCAGAGGAGTATGAGACTTTTATGAAAGGTTCTATGGCTATGCCAAGGTCGAACTCGACCCCATCGTCGCCAAGCGTGGGGATTATATAATTTATATAATTTGTATACGGTCGCAATCGTGCACTTTAACTCACACATGAGCCATAAAGAAAAGACCAGAAACAGGATGGCTAGAGACTTCCTAAGTGCAGTGCTTCCGTACGAGCCTGATGCCATTGCAGGAGATTTTAACAACCTCGCAACGAGGGCTACCTGTAAGGGAGGTGATGTTCGTCTTCGCAACAGTCTGTTTACCCTCTACCTCGAGGAGATGTTGCTGGCATATAACAGAAATACCTCAGAACAGAACCAAGTTCGATATTACTGTATCAATAACTCGGACAAAAAGACGCTAGAACATGCCAGACTCCCACGGGAGGTTAAAAGCGGAACTTCTTATTTGGACTGTTGTTGCATATACATTTATATGAGCGAGTCCGAACTCAAAACCCGTAACCCCACAAATGGAGAAAACATTTTGGAGCAGAGTCTCAGATCTGTGGCGTGACAAGTCATTTGGAAAGTGGATAGATATGAGACTTGACGTCCGCAGGCGAAAATGAGTTGTACTCCACACTAATAAATTTCGACTTCCGGTTCGGCTCTAAAGATGAGGCTTGGCATTGCCCACTAGGAGTCAAGATCTCACCAGTGGCCGCTAAAAGGCGTACATGCCAAGTCTACTGCCCAAGTTGAAAAACAACACCAAAAGCGTCCCAAGTACCAGGAACGTGCCCAAACAGAAGAGGAACAAAGAAGAGAAGAATCCTCACAGACCGTCCAACTACTGGCAGGACCTACCTCGACCAGAGCGTCCCGCAGAACCTTCTAATCCACTTCCTTCACGAGGAAGAGGAAGCTGCTCGTCGATAGGACCTCGCTCTCGTTCAAGAGGTCACAGAGGTATCTTCGAAAATCCAAATGTCATTGATAAGATCAACATGCCTCTCGATGGAATTGCGCAACCCCGGCAGGGGGAAGAAGAGACTCTCCCTGATGAACAGGATCAGGCTGATATTCAGATTGAGACTCAGAATCAAACGTATTTGAGTCGCGATGACGAGGATGAAGACAAAGACACGAAGAGTCCTCTTCAAAACGCCGACCACGGCGAACATCCAGACCTCCGTCTGCACCAAGCCAAAGGACCGCCAGAGTGGCAGGAACCGCAGGTTTTGCTGCTACCTTTTTCAATTGAAGACGTGGCGGAGGTTCTGCAAGCGCAATCCGCCGCTCAAAAGAACATCCATTCACTCACAAGTGATGGTGACGTCTCATTTCACAATTTGGTGTGTCATTCTTTACTAATGGGCTGAAAATGTCTTTGGAAACACCATACCAGACCGCCTATCCAATGCAGGGAAGGTCTCGGGCCAATGGCCAAGGCCAAGGCCAAGGCAAAAGCTACGGCCGGTGTTCCCAACCTCGAACCCGATGAGGAACGTGCTACGTAGGACACAAATTGTCCACGGTCCAACAAGGGCCGCCCAAGGCGGGAGTCTTTCCTTCAGGAAAATTTGGCACACTGCGAGGACAGAGGCTGCCTATCACTTGTCCTCGAATTGTCCGCAGTTACGAAATGCTGCAAATCTCCTTCCAAGGAGTCTATGTCAGACATGCGTGCGTGATGTCGAGGTCGCCGAAAATCGTCGCAACGACATCTTCGACCGTGGTGACACCAGACCACGTGCGACCGAGCAACACACAGACAGAATACAGATCCATCACACAGACAGAATGCAGATCCATGAACGAGCAGCAAATACCGCACACATGTGGGACTTGTTCAGCACTGCTATAGAAGCACAAATGGCGGATGAACAACTGGGAGTAACCTATATACTTCCCTACCGCCTAAGTCTAAGGCTGCAGCACGCGGACAGGCTGCACTCCCGAGTGCTATGCCAAAGCGGCCTCCAAAGGTTTCATCAGTGCCAAAGCTCTCAACTCCAAGGGGCCCTGCTGGTATGGCTCCACCTCGAGAGAGAGAGAGAGAGAGGCAGTGTACTGCTGAAGACATTCGGACCCCTGCTACTCCAACAAGGAGGGCGGGAAAAAGTCGTTAGTGTGCGTGGTGAAGGCCCCCAACTGAATATAGCCAAAAAGGTAGGGCGGCCACAATCCCAATCATGAAGGGGGACATCCATCCTGTCATTCATTCTATTCTAGTTCTTGTCTTGCGCCTTGACAGGGGGAATGGATGCACCGATCTTCTTGCATGTTTCTGTTGAGAATATATGGTCACCTCGTTTCGTCATCGCATAATATATATCTGAAGCCCTATGGTGACCAAAGATTCGTTTCTCACTCCCCGTGCGCCCAATAAAACATTGGGTGGGCTAATCAGCCCGGGGACGTTAACCCGTCCCTATGCCCGGGAGAGAGAGAGTGAGAGAGAGAGAGGTAGAGTAGTTGTTGTGCAAAATCGTGTAGCCCTACTTGTTTACAAATTATACATTGGGGGACAGGGCATCCAGCAGCTAATTCATGGGTGTCCCAAAGATGTACTGTGCTTGCCCGGGGGATAAGCTCCGGAAAATAGCAAACTTTCACACCCCCTGAAAACCCCATGAAATTTGGGGGGCCAACTGGCCGGGGGGTCTAACCGACCCCTCATGCCCTGGGGAAGAAGAGAGGTAGAGAGAGAGAGGTAAAGAGGGAGCAAGCAAGCGAAAGAGATTGCCAACATAGAGCCACTTCACAGCGTGTTTTCAATCAGTTGCATTCACTGACACATCACTTAGTGTCTGCAAGCTTGCAGGATGGCAAAGCCGTCACTGTGTAGCAACAGTATGTAACAACCATGTGCGGTACAGCTTGAAGTACGGCACGCGCACACACAGACACAGCCGTCAGGTAACAGATTGGTACCGACAGGAGACGAAGTCAGTTGAACTTTTGCATCGAGGGCTAGATGCACAGATGAAGTGTTTCATCTGCATCACGTGTTTGCAGGTTGAGCTCCTGGGAATGCGCGAGGACTGCGAATGAAGTCACACACACGACTCCGACTAGTTCCGAAGATGACTGTAAGTGTGAAAACATGACGTGCGTTCACTTTTCCTACTGCAGTCCACTTATGTTTGGTTAGGAGGGCGTCAACAGACGAGGGGCCATCCAGGTGAGAAATCTGTCTTCATCCGTTCTCCAGGATTTGACCTATCCATCTCGCCCTGTTGTGTCGCAGATGGAGATCTGGCTGCAGTTTCAGCCAGCAGAAGAGAATGCACAAGGACCATCTTCTGCTGGGTGGAGAGCCTTGCTGGGATGGCGGCTTCTGCTTTCCGAAAGGATGACGGGTTCTCCGGCTCCGCGACCGGAGATTCACCCTTGCACGGACCAGCAACAAAGAGTCCCGCATGCAAACGATTCAAAAGGGTCGGCACACTTGGGCATGTGAAGCGGTAGCCACCCGCCGAATGCTTGAGCAGCGCCAGAGCGCAGGTCAAGTCCGACTTTAGCCGCCTACGGGCCGATCATGCAGACAGCCGCAAGTCAGTCGTTGTTCTGAACGAGGCTGCCACTGCATGCACCTTGTAGCCTGCACATGAGTAGTCCTTTGATTGTTGGATTTCGGGAAGAGCCAATTACACGGGGAAACACGCATGACAGTCACGTTTTTGCTGTCGGCGGTTGTGTGTGTGTGTATGTATGTATATATATATATACTTATATGTACAGTAGAATCGGTATAGCTGTGTTGCAAAGGACACATCGACATGAAGCCTATGCTCCCCAACCCCCAAATCCCAAACCCTCGAAACCGCCCAACTCGCGTGGCACTGGTTCCCAGACGGATCGCGGCCGCGCTCGAACGAGCTTTTCGTGTCCCTGTGAGACTTTGTACTCCATGCCGCTCTGCTGGAGTGTTTCTCCAGCAGTCGATGTCATGTGGCTCAATCCAATTGTAGGAGCGGTCGAACCGGCTCTCCCTTGGCTAGCGTCATACATGTGCGAGGTAGATGTAGGCGTAAGCATGAGGCATGTCGTTTTTCACAAGCAGGTTGGGCCACTTTATGTCGACAGCACAGCTGTCTCTCGCTTTCGATATCTGGGTGTTCAGCTGCCTCTGAGCACACGCACCGAAGATGCATCCCGATGATGTGCGCGTAGCGATGGTGAGAATGTGCCGCCCCAAGATTCTAGAAATGATTCTAGAAATGACCCTGAAAGACGACCGTGGAAGTCTACTGAGGGCAAGATGTCTGAGATGCGCGGGCCCTCGGGGCCCTTGGGGCACTTGGAGTGTTCCTGGCGAGGAGGCACTTGGGCCGTTTTGTCACAGATTATGACTACCACTGGCAAGTGCAAGGCCCTCCACCACCCGTTGGAGCCGCATACACCGCTGGCATCAGCAGCTTGGGTCGCAGGTCATGCTGGGATGAGGCCAGCAGCTCGTGACAGCTCCTGTTGCTCGACTTGGCACTCGGGGACATGAAGCATTTGCTTTGAATGTGAGTCTCACATGATGAACTTGCCGATCTTTCCGTAAGTTGGAGCTCAAGCGGGTGCTGAACTGATGATGTTTCATGCAAGTGTGCTACAAAACGTAGTGTCAGCCGAGCAGACAAGCATGTGCACATGAGTGCAGAGAAGTGCATGCATTGACCGGCATCTGGTGACATCATGGCGGTTCCTTCCGGGCAGCAGCTGGCCAAGGCAGCCAGCTTGTGTCCAGGGCCGCAGTGGTAGTCTGGTAGTCGGATGAAGCGAGCTAGCTTGGTCAGGTGACAGCTAGCATCGACATGCTCGAGCAACAGCTGCGGAGTTTGGCTGACATGGCTGGAAGCTTGGAGCCCTCAGATGCGAAAGAATCCACCAGAGAGGTTATGCACGGTCTTTCTGCGCTGGAGCATGATCTCGAAGCTGCGAGGGAAGGCCCCGCTCTGCTTTTCATCAGGTTCTTGCAGCATGTGCGTTTGTGTTTGCTAAGCTCTCAAGCATTCCGGTAGAGGCTCTGGTGGAGCAGATCCCGAGCAGTGTCAGAAGCTGCAGAAGCGAATCGCAGATGCCACCACGAAGGCATCGAGGTTGCGAGCGACAGCTTCGAACAAGCATGCCCAGACGATGGAGCCTGTCCGAATTGAAGTGGCGCAAGCCGTCCTTGCTCGCCTCTCTAAGCGAAAGGACGAGGACGTTGATGTCTTTGCCGTCGCGGATCAAGACAAGGATGGCTTTGTCTCGCGCAGCGAATTCCAGAACTTCGTGAACGATTGCCCTGGAAACTTTTCTCGGGATCAGCTTAACAAGCTATTTGACTATCTGGACGACTCTCGAATGGGCAGCCTTGAACGAGATGACTTCATGCGTTGCATGATCGTTTTCTATCGTGTTTCACGGCCAAGTGTTGATCTTGTGCAGACCATGGGTGTGGCACAGGGCAAACTGGTACGAAAACTGGACGTGAACGAAATTCTGGAGCTACTTGAGGGCCCAATCAAAGAGATCAACAAAGTTGTTCGGGTGAAGTGCCGGGCGATGAAAGATGGAGCAGTCGGCTGGGCGACAGCAACTGGAAGCAATGGTGTTGTGTTTGTGGAGCAGAAGCGGGTCCACTTTCAGGTGAAGAGCCCCACAACCTTGACAGATGTGCTGTCGGCTAAAGCTTGCACCACTCTTCGGCAGCTGAAAGAGGGCGAGCTGCTTGAAGTGTTGGTATGGGAGAGAACTGATCCTACAACAGGTCTCAGACGATTAAAGGGGCGGGCCCTACGTGACGGTGCCGTTGGTTGGGCCACAATCGAAGGCAACAAAGGCACACTGCACCTGATCATGGTGTAGACACTGCGGATTGAAGAAGCTGTTTACAGCTCCGCTGGTGCTGAGCAGGTAGATGCACGGGTGCGAGCAAAATCGATAAACCTGCACTGCCCAAATGTCGTACATGTTGGTTGAGTATCACTGATCCCTGCTTGTGTTCACGTGGCACGCAGGCGCTCGGCATGCTACTTCGTATGTGGGTCTCCTGGTTTCCTTGCACGTGCAAGATCGTGCAAGCCACAGTCGGCTCCAGTATGCGTGGGCGCGTGTGCCTGAGGCCTGTCAATGCATTACAGACGACATCGATTACACGAAATGCAGCAGCATCTTGTCGAAAATAAGACGCGATGTCCACGTGTGTGGCGAGTCCATGTCTCCGATGTCGGCTTGGTGAACATGTCTTGCTGAACGTTGCAATCAGTGCCAAATCGCAAGCTGCAAGCAGCCAGCGTCATATCCCTGGCAGCAGCAAGTTGATTTGGTGTAGTTTGCACATCTGAAACTGTCGACTCGTGATCGTGGTTTCTGGGTCGGGTGATTTGTTTCCCGTTCGTACACTTTGTTTGCAGTTTCTGTGATGGCTGGCTTCCTCATAGGTACAATTTCCTTCTCGTTCTGCTTGGGCCCTTGATGCTAAAACTTCAACGTGGACTGGGACATCAAAGCGGTAAACACGATCAACAACGAGAGCTTTCCTTTAGAAATCAAGGCCTTCGAGCATTCACTGGCCGGTGACAGGTGAAAGAGATGCCATGGCTAAGACTTCGAAATGTGGCACGGTCTGCGGGTATCTATGAGCAGTGCGAAAATGGTTGAGCTACGGGTTCGGCCATTGATCGGAGAATGGCTTCCACCAGACGGGCGCGATATCGACTTTTGCCGTGTTGGGAGATGACTTTGTGTGCCCATTCAAAGTTCATAAGACAAGTGAAATCATTGTTTCAATTCCAAGAAGAGGGCCATTCCTTTAGGAATAATTTGTCGTGGATGTGCTTCTAGGGAGAGGGGTTAGGACTGCTGGTGAATTACTTTGGCAAGTCACGTAACTTCAGTTCTGATGTAAAGGGCTGCCCAGCTCCCTCCCCCTATTGCCCAAAGCCCCCTGAAATCTTTTTCATGCAGAACACCAAAGCTTAGCCAAGTGATTTGCGAGCTGATTCCTGCCCGCCCCTCTCCCTCTCCCTCTCCCTCTCCCTCTCCCTCTCCCTCTCCCTCTCCCTCTCGCTCTCGCTCTCTCGCTCTCTCCCTCGCTCTCTCCTAAAAAGACAGTTGGAATATCAACGGCAGTTTCGTTGATTTTGCAAGGGACGTGGGTACATGACTGCCCGATCACCCTCCTAACCAGCCTCGAAGTTCGCTTGTCCCATATGTTCCGCCGCAGTTTTAGGAAAGACTTCTGCAATCATCGTGAAGTTGAGGAACATGTGTTTCTCTGTAGTGCAGGTCGTTCTGCTCGTCATGGTGCTTTTGGGGCTTGGATTGGATCTTGTCGACTTCAAGATAGCTTCCGATTTGTTGAAGCATCTTGCGCTTGCCGACGCTCCTTTTCTTTGAGGAAGAATGCTGTCGGACATGCCTCGCCTCGGGGTCAGGATCGCGATTACCGGCTGAATCCCGTGGGTTGGTTGGAGGGCGAAACATGGGCGATGTCCAGTTGCGGGAAGGCACCTTCGTGGCCTCATCGGAATGGGCCGAGACACTTTATCAATCACAAGTTTAGCACTCGCACGCAAGATTCTGCAACTCGACAAGTATGCATGGAATGAGAGTGGTTGGGCCGAGCGACCACGACAGTCGTGCGCAAAGCGGAGGGGAGCCGCTTCAGCCTGTTGTGTGGGTTGCAGCGAGTGCAAGGCGGATGCGTGCGCCAGGTCACACAGGCCGTTCCGTGGTTTGTGGGCACCGGAGAAGATGTGGTGCGATATGCAGCTCATGTTTGTTTTGTACAGGTGGCAACATGGAGTCGACCTTCTGAGAGGTTATGCAGACGCAGGTTTACAACACGACGTTTTTGTTCGGAGCCCAGACAGCAGGCTATTCAGCCAGCAGAGGCGTGATGTCCGCCTGAAAGAGTGCAGGCGTGGACTGCAACCATCAGTGCCTTTGGCAGACACCGCAAGTGGAAGGAGGCCAAGGCATCGTTGTCCATCGTTTGTCAAGATTCTGGGATGCCAGGCCGTATTATTGTTGGTGGAAGCCGCTTCCTGGAACCTAAGACCAACCGCTGGAGCCCAACAACGGGTGGACTGGACTCACTGTCCCCCGCAGTCTCCGAGGCGGTGACCATTGCCGCTGCTGCTGCAGCCACTTGCTCAGGAGCACAGCAGTTCTTGCTCGTAGCAAGAAGTGCTTCACTGCGCTTCGCCGTGCTGAACTCAGGCATTGGACAGAGGCGCCGGGGTGTAGGGGTGCATGCAGTGCCGGCGTCCTCTCTTGTTTGGGAGGCTCCCAGGCAGAGGCACTTCGTCTTGGAGCAGGAGCCAACGGAATGGGGCTGAAGGCAGTCGTGCCGTTTGTTTGACAGGATCCTGCTGGGCAATTGCTCTGCAATTGCTGACAGCGGCTCAGACTTTGCAGGAGACTGCTCAGATCTGCTCAGTTCCGAGTCGTCAGCTAAGTCTCTTTCGGTAAGCCTGAAGGCACACACCCTGCCGCTGGCAACCCAGCGTCGAAGGTGCCAATGCCGTGCGAACCGCAGAGAGACAAACCATGTTAGAGTGCCAGAGTGACAGGGCTCACAACGGTGGCATCTTCGTATCTCAGTCTGAGGGCATCAGCGCTTCCAGCCGTATGGGCTTCTGGCGCACGGCGTGAAGGCCCCAAGGCAAAGGATGGCACGCCGGCATTTTGTCAACGCGCCGTACCGACCTTTGAGGCTTGACCTTGTGCAATCCTTGCTTGTGGAACGCATGAGGCCGGTGCAGCAACCGTGCTCCTTGTATTGAAGCAGCGGACGCACAGGCCCAGCGAGGTGTCTTCCAATGCAGCGGCCCACGCAAACACAGGCATTGCCGGAGACACTCACGAGTCTTGAAGCGTCGCCGGCCATGCGGAGAAGTGCGTCGAAGGGACGGGCAATTGGATTCAAGTCGTGACGTTGATGAGCAGCGCCTGGCTCAGCTTTGATCGCCAGCGTCCGTTGCATTGTCCAGAACGGCGAGGTCTTTCAGAGTCATTGCTGCAGCCGAATGTGGTTCGCTGCTCAGCGAGCTCTTGCTCCAAGAACTCTGGCTTTTGCAGAGGCTTTCACAGTTTCATAAGGTCAGCCTCGTTACCCTGTTGACCGGCATGGCCAGAGCGGCGAGTTGGAGAAGGTGCAGCTGAGTGGCCCGTGAGCTTCGACAACTGTCACGGCTTCGAGGGCATTGGCAGCAGCGGAAACTTTGGCAACCCGCGGCCTTCCAGCCAATGCTTGCCCCTCGGTGCTCTGGCAGCCGGCAGCCTCAGCTGAGACACTTGAAGCCTGAGCCTCGAAGGAAGAGGCACACAACACGCTGCTTCTTGCGGTCAGTCGTTTCCTTAGTCAAAGTTCGCAGCAGGAAGGATATGGGCAGGATGCTGTTGCTCGACTTGCAGGTCGAGGATCGAACTGGGCCACTAGTCACTAGCTGTGACTTTTGCGTGCACGCTTGAAGCGTCGGGGAATGCGCAATCACCCAAGGCTTTGGCTTTCTCTCATTGGACTGCATTCTGCACTGATGTGGTGCTCTCCTGAGTATCAAACCAGAGGGATGTGTGTCGCTGGGATTGGAAGGCAGCTGTCAGCGGCGATCTGGCTCTTCAAATGGCTCAAGTTCAAGATCTCAAGTGGAATCTCAGGTCGGAGTATGCCAGCTTGGGCCCGTTGCTTTACGTACGTAATTTTCGGTAGCATGGCGCTATCAGATTATCAGTCTACCACTTGTCTATCAGTTGGAGACAACCATACTCGAGCCGGGACTTTTTGTCACACTTGCAGGAGATTCCGAAACAAGAGCTTCATGCAAGTCAACCGTGCCGAGACTCATGAGAATCTTGCAGACCTGAACCGAAAGCAAATGGCCATCATTTGGAACTGCATGTGGCCATGCTCGACCTAAAACTGTCCAGGGCTGCAGGCTTCCGCCTGCTCTCGGGGGACATCAGTGATTGACACAATCGGCGGGCAGAGAGCTACTACAACTCTCCCATCTATAAACTCGAGCCGGCAAACTGCTCCTTCCTCGTCACGGTACTGGCTTGTCTAATGAGGCCTTCATATTGAGCCTTCCCGGTTGCACTTTGATTTCGGTCGGCATTCCCCGTCCAGCAGATGCCTGGGGTCGTGGACCATCCACCAGAAGAGTCTTTGTTTATTGGGGGTCTCGTGTCCACCGAGGCAATCGTTCGAACACGAATCAGCTAGCGTACACAGCTTCATAAGTGAAGCTGCTACGGTACTAATTTTAGAGAAAGTTGTCGGCGACGCCCTGTAATGTTGACACTGACGGTGACCGAGGTCGGGACGAGTGCTACCATGCCATGGGCTCGACATGGATTCATCACGTAGCATCAAGCAGTTCATGTCAAGCATTTAAACGCCAGGTCTGGATTTGCCACGAGTGGATTTTGGGAAGCGGTGCTGCATCTAATTTGCATTGTGAGCTCTTTGAACTGAATGAGACAGCGACGGGTATGAAGTGCGACAGACTGTTGACGGGCAGGCCCTCAAGTTACTATGTGCAGCGAACGAAAGGAGACTCGAGGCGGGCTGATGGTGTTGGGGCACTTATGAAAGACGCCAAGCCTTAAGGCAGATGTTGTCAATCTACAAACCTGCAGCAATTCTGCGCGAGTCATGACAGAGAACTTGGTGTTTTGACTCTGTGTCACATAGAGTGCAAGCCTGGAGCGAAGAAAGGCACACAACGCATGAGCGGCATGAGGGCTGGTGGCAAAGCAGATGGACCACTGCAAGTCTCGACTGAGTGTTCGCTAGAATATTGGGTAGAGTTATCGTGAAGCATCAGTTCCGACGGTTTTCCTTGCCACGGTTCAGATACAGGATATGACCTTGCTACCCCTGACCAGAGTGCCGCGCAAGAATTCAGCGCGTGTGCGGGGACCAGAGTATCAAGCCGAGATGGATCAGTTTTGGTGTGGCGACTGCCTCGGAAAGGTAGCTAGCAGTTTTTGCTAATTGCTGTGGGAATCCAGCTGCCCGCTTTGAGAATCTTCGGGAGACGTTGGTAGCTGGTACAGGCAAGAGGTCGCCGGTCTGGACCTGGCCGAAGAACCCCTCAGAGTGTGCTGGCATCCGAAACAGGAAGTTGCGCAAGTCAGCCAAGAAGTTGAGCGTGGACGCAACGACTGGATACCACATCGCATCACGGCGGCGTGCAGGTGGCGGAGCGTTCCGATGCAGGTCTTGTCCTGAATCCTGAAACCTCAGTCGGAACATCGCCATAACAATCCATAACACTTGAAGTTCTGGGGTCCTTCAGCTAAGGCACGCTAGGTGCCAAGGCTAACACAGTGCACACCAAGAAGGCTCTTTCTTGCCTTCAGCGTAGCTGATCGCTCTATGAGGTCAATATCCCACCCTTGAAGTGAAATGGCGGAGGGGAAGCCGAGTTTGCCAAGCCAACTTGGGGGCGGTTCTTTCGCCATGTGTCGCTGGTGCAAAAGAAAGGCACGCAACCTTTTCATTCGAAGGTGTAGTGCAAAGCTCTCGGAGGAAAATTCGTCAGGGAGTCTCTGGACTCGGAAGTTCGGAAGGTGTTCCGGGACAGGAATCCAGGAATTGGTGCAGTAGGCGCACGGCGTCCGAAGTTGCACCGGTTGTCCGTCTGACTGTGGGCGCAAACGTCGCTGACATGCCAAACTCGATCGTGCGGGGCCATGCGGGGTCACATAGATGTCCCCGACATGGTGGTAGCTCAAGCTTTTGCTCGTGTGGTAGTCGATGAGGAGTTGTTGGCGTTTTACAGCGGCGGCGAGGTGCCGGTTGTATCCTCACACCGCAGCCAAGTCGAGATGAAGGGTCTCGAGGGTGGCGTGGCTGCTTCCATGGAGCAGGCTGTTGGTCTGGATCGGTCGATGCAAGTTCTCATCTCGGGGAAGGGCTGTGCCAAGTAACTTGCGTCCGTCTGTGCGTCAGTGGTTGATGGTCAGCAGGATCACGAAGGCATAAGGTCCGGCCTCGGGGTACCCGGTCTCGGGGAGGTACTGGTGCTCGACGAGGGCCTGCGGGTCCTCGAACCGGTAGAGGCCTATAGTCCGAGAGCATCGCAGCGGCAGCAATTGCAGACGCGGCAGCCTTCGATCGCACGAACTGGTTTGCGCTCTGCGCGCGGCTCGGTGGCCTTCTTCTGCCGACTCTCCCAGTCCTCAATTTGAAGAAAGCTCGGCGGTGGCTGTAGTCCTCGAAGTTCCACTCTGGCAGGTCAAAGGTATACGGGTGTTGAGCCCGAGTTCCTGCATAGCCGCAGCGAGATTGCTTCTGAGCCGCTGTAGACTTCCCAGAGTAGTGCCTGGTCGGTCTCGGAAGCTCGGAAGGAGCCTTCAAGCACGCGGTCGAGTTCATTTCTTGACCTGTTGATGCCATAGTTGAAGCTCTTCCAAAGGGTCGTGGGTAGCATTCCACGGCAGGCACCAAATGGGCGTTGTCTCGGATCGTCTGGTCGCTCTGATTGGGCAGTTCTTCTTCCTCGTAGAGCTCGGCATGTTCCTCGTAGTAGGCCGGCTCGTTGGGTTCGTCGGCTTGCTCGCCTTCGTCATTTTCGGCCTGACTGGTCTCATCCTCGGCGGTTTACGCAGATCCGTGCTGCCGATAGGATTCATCGGATGTCCAGCGCTGCGGCGCTGTGGGGTGGTATCCTCTCCCTCGCCCTGGGCGAACATCCGGGCCTGCTCTGTCACGTCAACTTCTTGTCCACCTGACTCATGACGAGCTGGCGTTGGTCTGCCGTCAAAGAGGCACGACGAAGGAGGAGCCACCCGCCGACTGGGCCGGGAAGCTTCACGTCGTGTCGTTCCGACTCCCTCGCTGCTTCTCGGTGTTCGGAGCAGTCTTGGATGAAGATCTGGCCGCAGGGCGGTTGACACCGTAGAAGAAGCGCTCGAAAGCCTTCGGCATTTCGACTCCGCTGTCGTACTGATCCTGCAAGACGGCGAGGGAGGTGCGGAGGTTTTTCGTCGCCTCCATCTTCTTGATCGCCAGCACCATCGTGAACCATCTTCTCGGAAAACAGCGAAACTCGTTTCCTGTACTCCTGGTAGGAACTTGGCTGGCCGTCGAAGGTGGGGATGTAGTTGTTCCGCACCACCTCCGTGTTCGCGACAGACCTAAGGAACACGAGGTCCCGTGGTTAACACAGTGCACACCACGAAGGCTCTTTCTTGCCTTCAGGGTAGCTGATCGTTCTATGAGCTCAATACCCCACCTTTGAAGTGATATGGCGGAGGGGAGCATGCTTTCGCAGTGCTGAAACCAAGTTTGCCGAGCGAACTTCCCAATTACTGGTTCAGCTGGTGGCACCCGAAAGTGTCCATGCAGTTGATGTGTGACACTTCGTTGCATTGTGCAGTTGCCCGAATGTGTGCAAGACGGGTGCGCCTTGGTTGAGGTGCCTAGCCAGTAGATAGCAAGATCCTCTGTTGAAAAAGGGTTCCAGCTCACTGCCCAATACCTTGACAATGGTGATTGAGCCCACTTGACTCCAGAACGTGATGCACACATAGCCGTGTGCTGGTGCTGGCACGCTGTCGCTGGCTCTTGCTTCAGGTCGACGACTTCGTCTTGAGCTCTGCGAACTGTGCTCTTTCCTCTACCGCACGCTGGGTTCGGGCCCTTCGTTCTTGAAGGTTTCTCAATGCATCGCAAGACTCTTTCGAGGAGTGGGCGCTGCGGCTTTTGCTTGCTGGCTCGTCCGCTGGATTCAGGGACATGAAGCTGGACCTGGAGGCCTGGAGGCCGAATGTCCACATGCCACTCACTTCGAAGAGGGCGTTCCGGAGGCGACAGCCTGTGGGGCATCTGCGATGGCGTTGCAACGAAGCAGTAGCTGGGAAGAGGCAGTTGTCCCGGAAAGGATTCTAGCAATTCTCCTGGGCCTTCGACCAGGCAATCGGTCTCTTAAGCAAGCAGCCGCCTTAGCTCGTGGTCTGCCATCGGAGATTTGAGTCGAGACGGACTTGTCGTTCAGGTTGCAGCATTGCAGCCAGGGTTTGACTTTGGCCACCTACACAACAATTGCGGATGCTTGCAGCCTGGGCCTGACATTGACTATTTCCCACAGGTTGCTTCGCAGTGGCATTCTGTGAAAGTCTGTGTGCCTACATTCGAGGCAGCAGAGAGAAGTGGAAACAGGCCCTGCAGATGTTGAAGGCGGAGCCTTGATTTGTAAGCTTTGATGTCTCAGAATGTTTCTGTCAGCTAGCATTTTCCTACTTCCTGTAGAATCCGCGACACCACGAACGTTGGATCACGAATGTTTGCTCAGCTTGCGAGCCGTGGCACGCAACATTGAGCTCTGAGTCTGCACGTTGCTCACTGCTTACCAATGATTCGCGGACTTTGTCTTTTCTGCGTCGTGGTCGAGAACTGTTGAAGTCTGCCAGACCATACCAGACCGACCAACAGGTGTACGGTCTGGAACAGCTGTGCTAACGCAGTCGCTGGCGCTCACATGAGCTCACGGCTGTTGTCGGCTGTGTGTGGCCCCGCATAAAAAACCATTCCCTGACGGAAGCCTCGGGCCGTGGGAGTTCGGGGCATCGATGCACGGAGTGTAGGAGGCGCTGAAAGCGTCAGAGGTGGTTCCCACGACAGTACGCAGATCCAATCAGGCAGGGTAATGCGGGTGTTATCTGGCCATCGGCATGGGGCACCGCAAGTTCGCCGCGACGTTGGTGAGCGTGCTTTCCAGGCTTGATAAACATGTGTTTGGTATGCACAGCGAATCTCCGATTCAAGAATCTGCGAGTTTGGACTGCAGCCGGTAGCCAGTTTGCATCAAAACGAAGGGTTTTATCGTTTCGCGTAGGGCGTGCGTAGCTGGTCGTAGCTGCTCTTAAATACTCTGGTGCACTGGCGCCGTGCCTTTTGCAGACCGTGTTTCCCGTGACCACTGCAAGCTCAGGGCATGCAGGTAAAGGTCAATACAGACTGTGAATCAAATGCCGACAGGTTTTGCTACCGGCTGCTAGGGGGACCTGTGACTTCCAACGCAGGTTCTGAGCTCCTCACAAGCACAGGCTGACGTAGTTTCGCTCGGACCAGCTCTTGAAGCGTCTGGTGGGCGCCTGATTTCCATTAGAACTCGACTGTGCAGAGCGTCGAGCCACGCAGAGCCCAGGAGTCGGGGTTCGCTGGCAGCTTGCTTTGCAACTACTTCAGCAGGCCTTGTCGCATCTTGTTGCTCGAGCAGCACTATTGTAGTTCCTCATTTTTTTGGTCAAGGCTTGCCTGACAAACATCGTGATCAGTAAGATTGCCCGAACCATGGCTGTCACTGCGATTGGACAGGCAGCAGTGTGGTCGAGCAATGCTCGTGCATGTCGTGTGAGAAGAGTCCTCCTCTGCGATACTGTGTAGCCTTTGTTTACTTCAGCAGGCCTCCAATCGCTGGAAATGGGCGCTGCTGCTGTTGCAAGCACCTCTAGGCCGCTGATCTTCAGGATTGAGGGAACCTTCTGTCCCGAAAAGCTGCAAGTGTTGCAGGTCCCGGCGTGCAGGCGGACACCGTAGCACGGAATGCAGTCAGCGCCCTGGACGTCCGGATGAGGAAGTCGTTTTTCCTCCCTGGCCATACGATCAAGGTGGTCTCATCGCTAAGCTCCGGCAAGTGCTGGGTGTGGCTGCTTAGTCCGTGCGACGGAATTTCATGTGTGTGCTTAGACTGGGCAGCTTCTGTCCCTCACTCGCTCTCAGACAAAAATCGTTGAATCTCATGATCATTGCATGCTTCCACCTGTTCCAACTGGAGTTTCTCCACTGTCCACTGCATTCTAGCATGATGTCGAGGTGGGAGCGACCCAGCTTCTAGACGAAGTGGCACAGGGTGCAGAGGCTGGACTGTGCTCGTTGCAGTGGTAAGAAAGCCGTCGAGCACGAGAGAGAGGCTGGCCTTCTGCCGATCGGGTGCCGCCCCCAGTGATCCCTTGGACAGTCTCTGGTCTGCCCGAAAACAGAAACCGAACGTTGTTGGATTGTGTTTATTTCGAGGCTGCTTTTTTTCTGGACCTTGTGGATTTGTTGGGTGGGGGAAACTGGCACGGTCGCCAAAAGACCCTCAAGGCATGGGCCGGTAGCCACATTCAAGAGAGCAAGGCCAAACCAGAGCGGAATTGGCCCAGGGTCCTCGCGGTCCTCGCACGGTCCTTAAGGAGCACAAACGTGCAGGGTCAGGGTACCAGGTCACAACAGAACCCAGAAAAATGGACATGGACTGGGCACGGACGCCCTACACGGTTGTTTAGGAGCCCACACAAGGCCAAACTAGAGCCTGGACAGGTTGCAGGCATCCAGCGTGTAGTGGGAGCGGCCCCAGCGACTGGGAGACCTTCGGAGAAGCCTCACGGAAGAGCCTTCTTGCGGCGACATCCTATGCCGTGGGTCAGATTCTTTCCCCTCATAGCCCAAACGACCGGGGCCTGGGAGGCTGGGGCCGCACTGTTGATGATGATGATGTCGATGATAATAAGGATGCTTGATAGTTGATGCTTGACAATTGATGCTTCTTCATGATGTATCATGATGATTATCAAGACGAAAACCTGAGATGCTGGTTGTTGTTTCTGCCGAACGGCTAAAGCAGGCTTCGAGTGGTCGCCATGGTCACTCGGTTCAGCGGCGCCATGGCCACTCGGACACGACATCCACGTGCTGCAGAAAGCGGCCGAAGCTTCATATCCAGACCGATAGTTAGATCGACTCCAAGCTTTAATCGATTTAACCCTGGGCTGAGCTTGACTTCTAGTATGGGGTCGATTTACCCATAGTTTGGGTCAAATGTGCTCGGAGGAGCCTTCAGAATATAATTTCATGTAATTCGATGTGTTGTGACAGAGTAATATCTAATAGCACATCATAGAGCAGACACAATGTGATGTAGTATAATGCATACGCTGCAAGTATCAGGTCTACCACATCATGTAAAATCTAGGACATGGATTATATACAAATGTCATAACATACACCCATGCAGGTATATACACATACATGCACGATATGTTTAGAGTGTGCAGCGTAGAGTAAGCCAGTCATATACCCTAACATAAGATGTGTAATACTTCAAGCACAAAGACAATCTAATTCGCAAATTTGTACACAGTAATAATACATTATGTACAATACGAACTAAATGACACCACACACACACATACACGCACTTTTTATGTATGCATATATGCATATGACACACACACATATATATATATATACGTATGTATATATATACACACATACACACAGACATACATATGTGTGTACATGTATATATATATACATGTATATATACCTTTTGATGTTTATATTCATACCCATGTATGAGAACTATGCTCTGGATTTGACGTTCTGTAATACCTAGTTTATAACATAACACAGCAAAGGACAGGTTTATGGCGAATAACATACAGTATGAAAACACGACACACCATACAGTACCTTAAAGCATGGTTAAAAACGAAATATTACAGTATTGTATAGCATGCTACCATCACATATGCCCAAGTATCTTAGAGTACAGTTCAAGGCATAGCACTACAAGGCAGTACCACTCCACAAAAAAACGAAGCAGGACGATCAGGAGTCACGCTGCGTTGCTCGCACGAAAGAGCGAGAGGGTTGTCATTTTCTGTGCGCGGGCGGCTTGTGTATATTGGAATTGCAATTGTTCGCGGCACGAAACGATGAGCAGCAGAGCCCGCTGACCCTGCATGCTTGTTAAGAAATGCTAAAGTAGATTCGGACGGCATCAGAGTATTAGCGGCTCGAGAGCCGCACCGACCGACTTCGACAAGCAACTGACATCAATATCCACGTCGTCGTCTCCTCCCACAATATCCACGTCGTCGTCTCCTCCCAGCCCTGTCCGCTGAAACCAGGCTTTTGGGAAGCAGTCAGACCCACAATTTCCACTCAGCAAGGCGGTCAGGCTTGGGAGGGTGCGGCAAGGCGTTTTGAGCTTCGAGTTAGGGCTCTTGCATTCTTGACTCTCAGTCAAGGCAATCTTCAGCAAAGCCCACAATGTCGAGAAAAGACTTTGCAACGAAGTTTGCAGTCCTTTGAGGTCATTGCCGGGCTTTGCCGCCGCGATAGCCGCATGCACTGAGCAGGAGCGATGGAACCAGGCGTTCTGGTTCCCAGTGGCATTCTGGCTCCGGTTACTCGGCCTCGATCCTGGCAGGCACTTGGTCTTCTGGATGGTCTGACAAGCGGTGGACTGCTACCTGATGTCGTAAGCTGTGGTTTGCGGCACGGTTGCAAGAGAGAAGAAGAGATGTGAAAGTTGACATCTTGCATGCAGCTTGCCATCCTCTCGAGGCTCCTGATGGTTCTAGCCTCAGCTGCTACTGTTTTCGAGATCGAATGTTGTGAAGTACTCGTGTGGACGTGCGTTTGGGTCAAACGGCGCCGAAACCTGGGCTTATTCGGGCAAGGAGTGCGAGCAGCAAGGCCTGAGAGCACGGGAGGCCAGGCGAAGAGAGCCCAAGAGTTAAGAGTCCATTGCCCATTGCAGTCAAAGATCATCGAAGAGTTGACGAGGCAGAGCTGTTGAGTCGACTGGCCGATGACTTGCAGGCGATGGTGCGAGCGCATACGAAAGAGAGCGCACGCACGCCTTTTTGTCAGGTCTTCGATGAGTCAGCATTCGCAACCGCAGACAGAAAAGCTTGCCTCGCATGCCCATCAAGCGTTTCAGCGTTTCAATGAAACTCTTCCTGCAGGCCATGACGCAATTGATGGCGCAAACAGACCGAAGCATTTCACAAAGAATGGAAGGTGCTCCGGACCATCCTTCCCCGCAGGGTCTTGAATGTGCCGTGTTCGAGTCACCTGTATTAACCTCGCTCGCCCGCATCGAGAAAGCAGAGATTCTTTCATTGGCAGCAAAAAGCGTGGCAGAACGTTTTGGAGGGCCCAGGACACTTATCAGCAACCGGCACTGACATCCACTGATTTGTCACAGAGTGAAGAAGTTCGCCCATGCTCCGGTCGGTCGCTCCTGATCATGCGTTGCAGTGCAGAAGCATGATCTCAACATCAAGAAAGAGGCACTTCCAGACTTTGCTGAGCTTGTCAGTCATGCCGCGGAACCAAGGAGAGGGATCAGCTTGTGATGAGTTGCAGGCGAGATGGGGAGATGTTGGACTGGGGCACCTGGCGTCGCAACCTGTGAGTTGAACATCAGCACACCCGCTTTGATTCGGTCGTGCGATTCTCCATGCACGATCTTTTGATTTTGAGGCTCGTGTCCTGCTGGCCTTTGTCAGCCTCTTACCTGTGCGCGGGACTTACCAAAGCCTTTCGGAGGTCAACCCACAATCATGTCCAGTTCAGTCAATCTTATCATCTCTTGATTCTCATGAGAAGCTCCGAGGTCGTTGGAAGAAGATTTGCAGCAGTTGTGCCACGGTTTACAAGGATTCCTGCCATGTCATCGTCATGCTGGGCGTGCGCTGGACAGAGGTGCTTAGACACGAGCCTGCAAAGACTGCAAGCAGCTCTCTGGCAGACCTATGAGGCTGGAGAGGAATAGTGCTATTGCGTTTTGCTTTCGAGAGGTTTTTCAGAACAGACCGCTGGCAATTGTCAGCAGCAATCGGCATGAGCTTTGGACTGGACAGCGCCGACTCGGCATGTACTCTGGCAGGTAGCCAAGAAACAGTGCTTTTCCAGCGATTTGGCACGACGTGCTCTTTCGGTCGTGACGGTTTTCGCAATGCGCAGGCAGCACGCCATTTCGTAGCCTTGGCACCTTTCCGGTTCCTGCCACGGGCTCGCAGACTGGTGTATTGTGCAGCACAGTATCCCCAGAGCAAACTGTCTCAATCTCGTTTATTGCCCTCATGCTTTCGTTGTCCGTCTTGGGGCGATGACAGGCACGCTAGTCGCTGAAGCCTGTTGTGTGAGTCTAGCAGGGAGATGATTGTTTGCTTGGAACGAAGACAGGTCTAGTCTGGAACTTCGAAGTTTTCTATCCTCAGTGCGTGTGAGCGTGTGGCAAGAACCTTTGGCGTGTGTTTGTCATGCAGACTGCCGAAATCGACAGCAGAGGCAGCTCCGCAGGCCTCCGCACGCTGATACAGCTGGTCGCAGGACCATGGCAAATGAACGAAGGTGGTTGCTTCTGATTGTTGCCGCTCTGACAACAGCAACCTGGAAATTGCCGTCGCGATCGAACTCAAGTACATCATGATTTGTGGGTGTGCTCAAAACCGTGATGCCTGTTTGCTGTGTCTGGGGCGTATTCATGGCCTGGTTTGATGGCAATGTGCCCTCCACATCTAAGTTGAGCCAAGCATCGGGGCGACTTGTGGTCCGTGGCATCACAGAACCCCGCAACCTGCAAGAAACGGATGCAGCGTTTTGGTGGGTGAGGGTGGCGCTTTTAGATGCTTAGGACAAGGGCGGGGATTAGAAAGGGCGACGGTTAGAAGGGTTCAATTGCCGATTCTTTCGGGAAAAGGAAATCTCCGCGAAGGCCATTGTTTGTGTTGGTTTGAGCCTGCAAAGATGTCTTGAGCGTTATTGGGAAGTTGCGGACTTATTCAAAAAATGCACTCTTGCAAACCGGCAAGACCCGTCCTAACCCGCCTCCGCGCTCGTCTCAATTTATGGAAGAGGGCAGAACAATCTTGGAGGCTTGTGAAGCCAAAGACGCTCCCGCTCCTTTCAAGTCTTGCATGGCGCCAAGGCAACATCTGATATGTTGTCGTTTCGAGTGCCTTGGTTTTGAGGCCTGCCTCTTCGGGCTTCCTGGACATGTTTGCTGACCTGGCAGTGGCCAGCCTTGAGAAGATGTCGCTCGCATTCGCTCGCACGATTACAGGTGTCAGATCCCGTCGCCGTCGTGGCACAGGACCAGGGCAAACTCAGCTTGGTCATTGCATGGCTGAAACTGACAGGCCATTGTGGACTCGATCCTGGATGTTTTGGATGCAGACAAGGTCTGCTGGATGCAACACGTGAGCACTTCGAACCCCCAGACAAGTCTGGATGAGGTTGATATTGCAAAGCTGCAGTCGGTAGACTGCCTCGAAGGGTTGTTCTCTGGATGAAATTATTGCGGACTGCAGGGTTCGTATGCTTGTTGGAGCTCAGGGGGAAGGCCAACTCAGATGCTGAGGATAAACGCTTTGGCAGCTTCATCGCGGCCTTTGTTGCACACATCCCGGGGGCAGTGGGCGGCTGCCATCTCAGCTCCCAGACTTGCAGACTTTGGTGCCTCGTCAGCCACATTGCTCGTCCGTAAAGTTGATGGTCAATGGCTGTCCGATCCTAGTATATCGAAGTTCTGCGCGCTTCGAAACTTTGCCCTCTTCTGATCTGGCAACATCGGGTTGCGAAAATGTTTTTTGAATTGCCTCGGGCTGGTTTGCTTTGGGCTTCTGCAGGCTCGAGCTAATGAGATACTGCAGGTGCCGGGAAGGTTTAGGTGTGCCCAGTCTCGCTGTGGACGTCTTCTTTGGACCAAAGCTGCGTGCACCCACTCGGTGGAAGCTGCACGCTTGGGCGGGGTGCCAAAGTAGGTGGCAGCCAGGTAAATCGACGTGGCATGCCGCATGCACTTACCGATGTGTCGAACTTGGTTGGTCGACCCAGTGGCAGTCCACGTGCTTCTGTTCTGCATAAGAGTTCCGGGTGCTGAAACGCCGAGTGCAACGAGGATTCTCGGGTCCTGATTCCCCGAATTCCATACCCTTCCGAAACCTGCTCGGATCCTCGATCAGAGTGGGCATGTCACAGTTGCTTCTCTCTACACCCTCACGCTCCGCTGGGAGTACTGGGAGATGTTTTCTTCTGGTGAATGGCAGGGTGTTGCAAGGGCGTTCCATGAGATTACGTTCTTTACGGAGTGGGTGCTCGAAGCTGATGATCAATGTGCCATAGTGCCACTGAAACACGTCATGTGCAAGGGGTTAAGAGGTTGTGATCCTGCCAATGCTTTTGCACTTCGCACCGAACGAGCTGCACAAATTGCGATCGCATGCTTTCCTGTGAAATGCTGCGGACCAACTCATCTCCTGAGACACCGCAGATGCGACCGAGACCGTAGCTCCAACAAGTATCGTGGCCAAGCTCTTGCCAAGCAATCTTATGCTTCGGACCTCTGTGATGGGCATCGTCGGAAGGCTCTTGCTGCGAAATTCGTGTTGAATCTGGATGTGACTCTGTCACCTTCGACAGAAGTCGGAAGAGAAGATCGGATACCCGCACATTGCGAGTGTGATAGCACACAGTGGACTTATGAGGGACTGAACTACTCCGACTTGTGACAAATCGTTGGTCTTACATGCCGGGACTCAAAGATCTTTCCATCTCATCGTGGTCCAAGTGCTTCAGCGAGAGAGAAGAAGTTTCTGAGGCCTGGGCCTCTTTCACTTTGGCTTCCTATGGCTGCTGGCCATTGCATGGACTTGGCCAAGCCGTTCCAGGTTCGGAAGACCGGACCGTCGACGTTTCGAAGTTGCATTCCTGAAATTTTGGGCATGGTCGTGGCCGTAGCAACACAAATCCTCTGGCTCCAAAGTGCAGATTTCCCAACAGTGTCGTTGCCACTGACCCAGAAGAAAGGTGCAGGCATCACCTTTCCGCAAGCAACAGATGCAATCTTTGAGAGCTCCGGAATGAAGCAAACATTCAGAAACCCGGAGAAATCTATTGCGGTTGTTTCCTGGATGGCTCTTAGTGCAGGCGGAGACAGTGATGTGCGAAAACGGAAACCCCCAAGGCAAAACAATGATGCGGGGAAACTGCGGGAGGGGTGTGGTGTGAGTGTGTGTGAGTCTTGAGGGCATGCACATGACATGGAAGCAGAGACCATGGTAGCAGACTTGGTAGCTCAGAGTATGTTGAGATGGTGTGACACTGCCAGTTTGCACAAGGTGCAGTGTCAGTGCAACAGAGTTTGCGATATGCCTGCTTGCAGTTTTCATTCCTCTCTCCTAACCCCCTCACTCTCAGCCTGATCTTCACTCTCATCCCTCGCTCTCACCGTCACTTCCCCCCATCCCTTCACCACTCGCCCCGCGAACTCCGACCCACTTCCCCTCCTCGCTCCCACTCACTCCTAGTCCTGTATAGCATCGTGAGAAGTCACAGCTTTTGGAGGCAGCAGCTGGCCAGTCAGATATCAAGACGTTTTGGCTGACAGCTGAGTGGAACCTGACGTCTCAAGACAGCTGCTCGGTTGGTGGGTTGAAAAGTGCAAGTTGTGTCTGAGAATCTGGCACTTTCTGCGGAAGCCTGGAGAGAACATGGTGATAAGGCCTTTGTGCGATTCCTTCCTTGAATGCATCCGGTCTCTGCTTCTGGTAGGCAGAGTTCGCTTTGCCTCCAAGGAAGCCCATGCCAGCGGCAATGTTGAACAGGTGGGGCTGTTTGTGGCTCAGCGCCAGATAGAACGGCGTGGGGGCCGTGGCCCATGAGGCTAACCCCGAGCAAGCCGCCTTCAGGTCAGGGTGGCCCAGGGTGGCCCAGGGTGGCGCAGGAGAGCGGCTTCACGGACCAGGTTTCCCACTTTCTCTCCCCGCAACAAAGGTCCGGCGAAGGGGCCGCTTCCGATGCACTTGACCGTTCTCAGCACAGGGTCAGATCCTGCAGTTTTCTGACAGATGCGAGATGATGCGAGGCATAGGCATTGGATTCGGGTATTTTTCTGACGAGTCCCAGGCATCACGCATCATATCCAGTTGCCATCTCAGCAATGTGGCGGGCACTCCTTCCAGAGTACGAGATACAGATTCAGGAGTGTTAAGGACTTTTGGGAATCCTGCACTTTCTCTGTCAGCAGACTGGCAGGACCATTCCTTTGACGACCGCTACTGCCAGCTTCACGGCACGTGTTCCGCAGACAGCCGTTTTGCGTGGCCGGGATCCAAGAGCTGCGGCGGCTGAGACGGCCGTGATGAGAGCTTCACCAACTTCGATACGATGTGGAGTGAGCCACTATATCAGGCTTGGTGAACACCTCAGAGGAACACTTGTTCGAACCTGTGGTGGACATTATCTGAAAGGCTTTGAGGCTCCGCCCGGGCTGTGTCTCTATGATGGCTAAACAGCAACTGTCGCAAGTCCTTACAGGACATAGCATCACTGGCAGAGCACTTCTTCGAGCTTGTCGTCAAAGGCTGTGTGGCAGCTGGCAGGGGTGTTGTGCCATGGTTTTGCGAAAAGCATGTGGGTTATAACGGCCAATATACATAATGGACATACTACTCGTAATATACAAAGACCAGTAACACAAAAAGCAAATGTACGTGTAAACACAGACAATACAAACAAGCAAATACATCTGATTAAGTAACTTTCGATAATCTATCTATCTACCGATCGATCTATCTGTCTATCTATCAATCTATCTATATTTATATCCTTCTATCTCTTGTCTATCTATCTATCTATCTATATCTACCTATCTATCTGTCTATGTATCTATCGATCTATTTATCTATCTATCTGTCTATCTATCTACCTATCTATATCTATATCTACATCTATCTCTGTCTCTGTCTCTGTCTCTATCTCTATCTCTTTCTCTATCTCTATCTCTACCTCTACCTCTATCTCTATCTCTATCTCTATCTCTATCTCTATCTCTATCTCTATCTCTATCTCTATCTCTATCTCTATCTCTATCCCTATCTATCTGTCGATCCAACGATCTATCGATCTATCGATTTATC